GCCAGGACAATGTCGGCGGACTGAGCCGGAGGCTCTAAAGTATGAACTGCAATGCTTCTCATGTTTCGTAATTCGAAAACATGTTGTTTTCCAGAAGCACATACCAATGCTGCAAAACCAGTAAATCAATGCAGGGCGTGCATCGGAACGTCCACCAGGCAATCAAACAATAACCATCGGAACTCATGATACGCCCTCATTCCAACAGTCAGGACAAACAAACTAAAATGACACCGAAACATACTGATAGTCTACTCAAACCATGCTATCAGCCTCTTGCTCCATTGAGGCATGTAATCTCAATTGTCTTGACTACTCACTCTGAAGCAATACAATGCATGGCAGCAAGAGCGTGCTTCGTCTTCTCGTGTGTGGACCACTGGCTTCAGGTTAGCTCAACTTGTCGCAACAAGGCGAAGTGTGCAGAACTTGAACGTACGTACACTTGTGGCTTTGTCTCTATAGGGGAAATCCTAACATGGGTGGCTTCCTTTTGTCCACCGCTCCAAAAAAGACATAACCCTGTCTTGGCCTTGTCATTGCGTTTGAGCAAGCAAGTCCGGAGTAGCACCAGGCCTTTCGATGGAGCCGCACATGAAGGGCTCCTCAGACTCCACACCTGCAAAGCCGGGCAATCCAAAAGTTGCAAAATGCAAACCTGATGTCCTCTGTCCAATCATGGAAGGGAGAGTTTTGGAAGACGAAAGCCATCCGCTTGAAAGGTACCACGTCCATGGAAACAAATCTCAATTAGACACTCAACATGGCCGCATTGGCCAAGACTCAAAGCTTGTCCGAACATTGGGTTCAATATATTCAGACCGACATCCCCGCAAGCTGGTCTGACAGACCAGGGAAAGCAGGAAACCTCATTGTCATAAAGAAAAAACACTTTGGCACACAGGGCCAGCCTGCAGTCTGGCTGCAGGCGTCCACTCTTTCCGTCACTGCATGTTGTACTAGTGGTACAACGGATGCGTATGATCCCATTGCTCTGTCTAAGACATGCCACCGTGGCTGCCTTGTCAAACGCCTTTGGACATTTAGACTACAGGCTGTATATACAGGCGTTCCTAGCTATATAATTGTAATGCTTATTGACAGCATTGGTTGGTTTGCCCCAAACATGCCGAACTGAAAACATCGCTAAGTCTCAGGTGCCAAGGCGAACACAAGAACACAGTGGCGGCAAAGCAAAGGCAGGAACAGTGCCAGCAATCGCAATGGCCAATACAGCAAGCTTTCATGAGTATGGACACACTCCACGTTGTGATTTCTACCACCTTTGACCTGCTGGATATTGCTGAAATCCGATCCAAGTCTTGGCAAGTCAACCTCAAAGACTCTGAACCCCCTGGCCTTTCGCGACGTATTGCTGAACCAAAGCTTTGCAATGATCGAGCGCCTCTGGTGTGATCACCTTCCAGGCATGGTGCAAATGGCGCTTAGAAGACTTGGGTGCAATACATCCAAGGCAAATCAAACCCAAATACACCTCTACTAATCTTTCTGCCCAACTAGTTGCCAATTTGCTGAGCAACGCCCTGGTCAAATGCCACACATGAGCAGCAAAACATCTGAAAAAGCAAAATGCTGATACCAAGTGCAAGTGTTGCTGTCAGCTGCACCAGGTAGCCAGCTGCACACCGGACACGTGTGTGAACAAAACGACATGGAACATCCAAAACATATTGCGGGCAAAGCTGGGACAAAGCAGCAAACGTCAGCCGTTCAGCAAATGCCCTCGACGCCCGTCCCAAAATCCAAGTTTCTGCGTGCACACACACAAAGCACGGCAAAATAATGACTGCACTGCCAAACGGACCTGTTCCCAGTTTTATTGTAGGCATGCTAACGCAAGGAGGCTGCCCGATCTACCAACCTCAAACAAAAGGAACCATTTCCATTGTGTTGGGTGGCTGGACCTCGAATGACCTGCGATATCCTGCGATGCTGGCTGGTTCTCTAGGCAACCGCATCCTGTGACAAACCCTAATGGAATGCGTTTCTGAGTCTCAGAGGGGCTCCGACGTCGGTCTTTCTTTTTCGTTGCGCGAATTCGTATCGCCGCCCAGGAGCTCCCGCGCTTCGCGGACCTGCCTCGGCGAGGAATCAGCGGGTGTGGAATCTGAGTCTGGTGTAGAAATGTTGGAGGGCTGAACTGCATTAGAGCTCCTCCAGCTGCGGTCAAACTGCTAGCAAGAATATGAACATAGCAGATGAGCAATGATATATCGCTTGGCAAGCAGTCCAAGCGAGAATGACTTTCGAACAGTGAAGAGTCCGGCAACAGAAACTAGCATGGAACTGGCGAAGAATCCGACGCACCTTCATTGAATACCTACGTGCGAGCATGTGTTTACGTGTGTATTCTGTTCACACAAGCATGAATACGATCCAGGTGGATATTTACACATAGGTCAAACAAACCACTTCTGTCAGCCACCTTTTCAGAGGAAATTGACATCCCCACCCGAATTCGGATCACTTCCACCCCAAC